CTTGATCTTACATATTGGAAAAAATATATATATAGATATTATAATCCATTTTATAAGGTTTACAACGAATATCAAAATAAACAACTACCTTGAGATACAGAATTATTAATCCGATACTTTGATTCTATGCCAGCCAATAATGTGTCAAATTTCCAAACCATCTTGAGGATGGATGCAGCAAAAGCCTGGGCAGTTTGTCCATAAGTTGGACGAGATTCTGTACATATCCTATTTGAATTAACAATATTATTAATCTCTAACTTAATTGTTATTTCCAAAAAAGATCGCAATACCTAGTGGCAACTATTCTCAACTTGGCCAAAAAATTCCCATGTTCACAAAAATATTCTAACAAGGCTTTAAATCCACCTTCAGTTAAATGCATTAGTATTGCATTAAGCTGGACCTATGTTAACAAATGAACAATAATATATACAAATTGATGAACTGGCAAATTGGTATTTACAAGATAATTAAAAATTCATACTTGGAATTTTCCATTTGTATCTTTGCAAAAAAGAAAGCTCGGACGTCCAGATAACATGAACAAAACCTCACGTATAGCATCAAGCTCTGTGATGTATTTTAGTCTGGTTGGATCATAAAAAAGATATCTTTTATCTTGACTACGGTATTGCGCGAGTGATGGTGCTTTGCATGATGAAAACACAAAAGTGAAAAAAGAGATAAGTAGATGAGAAAAAAAAAAACATGAATATCAAATAAACAATGTTTAGAATCCATTACCAAAAGTACATGCATCATTGGCATCAAACTTGGAATCTATTGAATTGTATACATAATGAAATTCGATAAATTATATGAGTACCAACTAAGGTTTCAATGACATACCGAATAAATGCGATTGATTGCAGTAATTTGGCCTCCAATATTGGTTAGATAACAATTCCTGAACAATTTCATAATTTAAGTCCTGATCTGGTATTTCTTCCACATCGTCTTTTTGTACTACATTATGTGATGCCTCAGGAATCAGCTATATGCATTGCAATTTATTTGAAAATAAGTAAAAAGTAGAAAGAATAATAATAATAAATAAATAAATAAATAGAAAATATGATTGAAAGCGACGATTACTTACATTTTGATTTCGGCCATTTTGAAAATTAGTAGCTCTGTCGCCTAATCTTGCTCTGATCCACTCTTGCACGTCAAAATCCCAATCACCATCGTCATCATCGTCATCTTCATTGTAATCCGTTTTAATTATCCAATGTGGGCCTGTCAACGGTTCTTCGTTAAGTATATCAGATACTTTAAAACGCGGTTGATCAGGCTTCTTTACTTTAATAGTTGGGTTATATTTAGTGGAGAGTGGAGAATCCGATAAATTTAAAAGTAAACAAAGCATATCGTAGCGCGTATGAAGCTAAAAATGAAAAATGTTATTTAATTAAAAAAAAATATATATATATATTTGGTGCGATATTAAAATCTAAACTTACTTGAATCGACCCTTCTACCGTCGGACGTTGCATAAGCGAAGAAACATATTTTTCTAAAAATTCTGCTTTGGTTCCTTGTGCGTGTATCCGAAATTTTTCGGCTAATCTATTATAACCATATTGGTCATTACTTAAAGCTTGTTTCTTCACTAAATGAACAGGAATAAATATATACCCTTTATATTTTTTCAATACATCCTTTTGGCTGGTACTTCCAAATTTGCCGAATTTAAACGTTGAATGCACGTATTTTACATATTTTTTATAATCATCCGTTTCTGGCTAAGAAATGAATAAGTTTATATTATAGAAAAAAATTCAGTCTAATTGAAAGCTTACTTGTTTTTTAGTTATATTGAGTACGAGTTTTTCTATCGAAGCGTTCACGATATTAATCGACATAATTCGCAATGATATCGATATAGCAGTTGGGGTAATATACGTGGATCATTAATTAAGATGGCAATCATGTGACTTTTAGCCAGTCATATTTTAAAATAACAATAATTGACCCCGGATCTGGCCAAATGATCTGCAATTTCACGTTACACTTAATCTAAACTCATGTGATTGACTTTTTCATCTGTATCATGTCCTATCGCTATCGTTAGAATAATTATTTCTTTTTTTGATTAACAAAATGAACATTTTACCACATAAGAGGTTTGTAAAAATTTCGTATTTGAAGTATTTCGATTAGCAAGTTTACTGAAATTTTGAAATTTCTAGTTATCACGTTTACAATCTCAAGAATCGAGAGCGTGTTCGTAAAGACGAAGAGAAAGCTCGACAGGAGGAAGAAGCAAAGGCTCAAAGAAAAGAGATTTCGGTATGTAAGTTGGTCAAGATAATATCTATAGTAATATCAATATAAAAACACATATTTTATAGGAGCGTGAACGTCGTCTTCAAATTCTTCGAGAAAATGCTCGCGCAAGGCAACAGGAATTATTAGAGGCACCAAAAGAGCAAGCTTCTGACCAGCTAGTAACGACAAATCAAAAATTAGCAATACAAAGTTCGGCCGACACCACTGGCGGACATATCAATTTCTGGAGTGACATAGAAAAGGTAGAATAGTCTATATATATGTTCGTTATTATGTTCTATAAATCATTTCTTAAAACATATCCCATTAATTTTTATAAAGGAATATGCTCGCAAAGTTTCAACCAACCCAGAATATGAGGCTGAAAAAAGGGCAAAAGAACAAAAATTGGAGAGGCAGTATACGATGTATCTTGATGAAGTTTTAAAAGGTATGTTAAATTAATGTTAATTTTTTAAGTTATTATTTTTATTGATTGTCTTTCAAATGATAGATCCAAAACCATGGTACCTTAAGAGTAATAATAATATTGGTGGTAGTAGTAGCAACAACGGAGAAGAAAAATATTCTATAGATGGAAAAATTAAAAGGTACTGTAGTCAAGCCAAATTATGTTAAGTCCTTTATTTCACATGTAAAATTTCAGAATACAACTTTATTACTTCCAGAAACAAAGAAATGGGAATTAAATCTGCTGACGATCCACTACACATGATGAAAATAAATTTAGATAAAATGTCAAAGAAAAAAAAAAATAATGCGGTATCTGATCATCGACAAAAGGTAATTCTTATATAGAGTATCATATTAGGATGAGTTATTAACATCACTTTTCTATATTTAAGCATACGAAGGAAATTCAATCTGATTCACCTCCCTTATCAACAATTGATAGACTACGTGAGGAACGTCTTAAGAGGGAGCGTGATGAAAGATTACGTACTCTTAAACTTCTCAACCCTCACATGATAAATGAGCAAGAATCAAAAGGTCGATACTTTTCACAATTCAATCCAGAAGCTACGAGCGCGGCACATAAAGTATCTGAACGGGAAAGCACGTATTCTCGTAGCGATCGCTCTCGTTCATGGAGACATAAACCATATTAAATGTCGTTAATAAGAAGTGCAGTGTTCTTGAAAACTTAATTTATCTAATTGTATAGTACAACAGCAAATTTCTGGAAATCGATAAAATTTATGTAATTTTGATAAATTTGATGAATCAATGGCGCCATCTTGTTCATTATTTGAATTTTTGAGAATGTGAAGTATTTATATACCACAAGCTTCTGCGTTTTGGATAGCTCTCACTTAGCTATGAAGATAACCCATCGATCAGCCGTGTCAGCTCTCTAGCCAAAAATTCTATATTAAACCACCTCTTTCTTCATGAATGTTTAGTGTGAATGAAGCCATCAATTCAAGTTGCTAGACCTATATTCATGAGAAATTAAAGTTGCAGACCTAAATCCATGAGAAATTAGTTAAAATTAATAATTGTAAATTATAATGATCTAATTATGCTAAAAGTATTAAGTATAACAATCATATAATGTAAGTAGTTCTATAACCCTTTATCCAGGGTTGGCAATGGACTATGTCCATTGAAAATAAGTTTGTCAATGGAACTCAATGGACCAATATCATAATCCATTGGTCCATTAGTCCATTAGCATAAGCCAAAATAAGGTCAATACCAAAAAAATCTCAAATATCACGTGGTATAATATTCTAAACTCATTTATAAAAGCTATATGAGTGTCGCTAAAAGAAAACCCGACAATTTAAATATGACTTATATTTAAATTGTCGGGTTTTCTTTTAGCGACACTCATATTTTACCTACTTGTCCATTGGTCCATTGGAATAGTGACCGTCCAATGGAACTGGTCAATGGACCTGGGGTCCATTCATACCAATGGACAAATGTGCCAACCCTGTTTTTATCAGGTTGTTTCCAATTTTTTCCTATTAAGTAAATTTTGTATTTCTATAAATTAACGAATACGTACGTAGCAGTAGTAATTAAATACGTACTAAGTTTTCGCTCAAAACACTTGCTACGTATACTCTTTTCTGGTAGCATGCTACCCAATTGCATCATTTTAGTCCATTTGTGCTCTTGCTTTTGGAAATTTAGTTACAAAACTGGAAATTTAAGGCGTCGCATATATCAAAATATTATATCAAATATTCTTATGATTATGCAATAGTTTCTTCATTTCATTTCACTAGAATAATGGTCATGTTTATGCTCATACTCATGTGTAAAAAAAAATTTTAGAAGACAAAAAAACTAATCTTATATACTATTTGGTTTTTAAAACTTTTTTTATGGTTTTTTTTTTCTGGGTTTAGGCCACACAAATTTAATTTATTGGTTCTCGTAACATGGAACTTCTTAAATAGACCCTGCCGGCCGGCTTTTTTTTTTAATTTTATATATAAAAATTTATAAAATTTACTTAAAAATTTTTTTTAAAAACTCACCCGGTTATTAAAACATAAAAAATTTTTTGTAAACATTTTCAAAATTTGACTCGGGTTACGAGAACCAATTAACTTTGCATGGGCTTATTAATTTACTTTTTTGTTATTTAACAATTTTTTTTATTTGAGCTCCTAAAACCCACTTATACTTGTTTATTATAAAATCTGCTTCTAAACCTTAAAAAAAATGCTAAAAAAATGCACCCCGAAAATTTGTATTTCTCGGCGGCTTGTCTATTTTACACTATCTCTCATTTCATTTTAATCTTAATCTGCCACAATGATTATCAAAAAAATTAAAATAAAAATTTAAAAAATAGAGGATTTCTATTTGTACCCGGTGGGTATATACCCGGTATATAAGAAAAAATTAAAAAATCGTCAATATCTCAAAATTTTATTAAGAAAAACATATGTAGGTAACGTAAAATTGTTCAGCATCAAATTTTGTATATAATACACCTTTAATACCTTTAATTCTAACCCTAATCCTAACCTTATTAACTTAAGGGTTGTATTTTTTTTCTTATACCCGGGTATATACCCGCCGGGTAAAATTAGTTATATTCTATTCAAAAATCAATTACGTAATATAAAATCACCTATGATGTTTATGGTGTTAATAAGTTTTTTGCTAAACTTTAGGGTTAGGGTGTAGCTACAAAGTAAGATAGGGTTAGATATAAAGGTTCAAATTTTAGTTAGCATAAGGTTTTTGGAGGTCCTGAACATTTTTACTTATGAGGTGTGTTAGCTAGTACGTTTTTGAGATATAGTAACTATGGTGTTCAAAACCAATGGTGCATTTTAGTAATCTCGTCAAAAATATACATGAAAATTTATAATTTGTGAATTAATCCATAAATTCAGATTGTTACTAATAATTGTTGACCTGCATCTCTTCCACATCATTATCATCCTCTACTATTTCGGTAAAAATACAATTATTCTCTGATCCGTGCGATAACGAGGAGGTATCACCGTTCAATTCAAGTACCCAGCTTTCTTTACTTCTTATACATTTTGTCAAAGAGCACGTAGCACAGTTTATCACAGCGTTCGGTTGTTTAATTAAAGCTTTCGCCCCAGCGACTAATGATGCCGCGTGTACGATTATCAAGACGCATTTGATATTCTCTTCCTCACCTATCAAACTCTGCATAGTTCTATCCATCCTTCGGTGAAGTTCTTGAAAAGTTTCACCATTATTAGGTAGCTTTGTTATAGGGATATATGTAGGATTGATGCGTGGAAAGAATTTACGTAAAAGAGAAAGTGGTGCACATCCAGGATAAATTTTTTTCTCAAAGGGATCATACCATTCGCTATCATATATTCAATAATGACAAATCAATTCTTTAAATAGGTGACAATTTTTATACAAAATTTTTATTAACATCATCAAATAAACCAACCTTAAGCCATATTCAATAAAAATTTCTAAATCTAATTTATCTGCAATTATGCTTGCAGTTTGTAGTGTACGATAAAGAGGACTAGAATAAATGCGATCAATCTTTATATTGTTTTTCACAAAATATTGACTAAGTTCTAGAGCCTGATTGCATCCATGTTCACTTAGTCTAGGATCCCAGGGTAAATTTGTCGGGTAAGTCACAACATTATCAATTGGCATAATCCAATCCATTCGATGGCCATGCTTAATAAGAAAATAATATTAGCCTTAATGAATATGTTACTTTACCATCCACTTAATGGAACCATTTTCTTACCCGCGCAAAATAGATTGTTTCTAACATTTTCTACCGAAAGAAGTCAAAGGGAGGAAAAAATTCGGTGCGATTTTTATGAATAGTGTAAATATTTATATCAAGTTTTACTATAGATTAAAATCTTCCAGATCTTCTTAGATAACAGTTTTATCGTCATATTAAAAAGGATTAGACTATTAGAAAAAATCATTAAACACAATAAGCGCCTTGGCAATCACGGGCTGATTCGCTGATGATGTAAATCATTTGCCTCAATACCTATTTATACAGTACTTTTAAGTTTTATTACATAATTAATAAAAAACATATAAATTGCTTATCAGTTATTAAAACGCTATATTTAAAATAATTTAAATCTCATTTAAAAAAAGGTTAGCTTAACGGCTTTTTAAATAGCTAAGAGTACCATAGAACTAGGGTTGTTAATGGAGTACTCCAGACTATAATAAAACATATAACCCGCTTCTGGAGTGCTCCGGAGTGGGTTATA